GCGGGCCCCAAAGGGGGGGGTTCCCTTCCCCATCAGCTGCCAGTCGGAGCTGGGCAGCCTGGCAGAGGATGCTTCCTGCTTCGGCACCCACCTGGGCTACGGCTGCGAGCCGGAAAACTTCCCAGCCCGCGGGGACTTCGCCGACACCAAGATCCACAACCTCCCGCTGATGCCGGATTTCGACCCTTCCTTGGCCCAGCCTGAAGTCCTGCCGGGTGTGCTGAGCTCTGCTGAGCTCCTCCACCCTCACCCTTCCCCCTCCGTCCCCCACACGGACTTCCTGAGCCGCGTCCCCCCTTCCTCCATCCCTCCCCTGCTGCCCGCCAACCCTCCCTCCTCGGCCGAGCCCAAGAAGAAGACCCGGAGGACCAAATGCTCTTCCAAATGCTTCTGCCCCAAACCCCACGAGAAGGCTTTCGCCTGCCCGGTGGAGAACTGCATCCGGAGCTTCGCCCGCTCGGACGAGCTCAACAGGCACCTCCGCATCCACACGGGCCACAAGCCCTTCCAGTGCCGCATCTGCCTGAGCACCTCCAGCCGCAGCGACCACCTCACCACCCACATCCGCACCCACACCGGGGAGAAACCCTTCTCCTGCGACACCTGCGGCCGCCGCTTCGCCCGCAGCGACGAGAAGAAGCGTCACGGCAAGGTCCACCTGAAGCAGAAAGCCCGCACGGAGGAGAAGCTGAAAGGCTTGGGGTTCTTCTCCGTGGGTCTCTCCTTCGGGACATTGTGAAACACCCCCCTCTCCCAATAGAGAGACAAACCATAGAGGCTTGGGAAGATGGTGTTTCCTCTGGTTCCTCCCAGCATCTCGTGGGAGATGCCAGGGTTGGGGGGGATCAGCCTCCTGGGGTGGTCCCTGGGGAAGGTGGCAGCAGGTCGGGCAGTGCCAGGGAGGAGAGGGACAGGCAGGAGGTGGAGGTGACGCTGAGGAGCTGAGGGATGTGGGGATGTGGCAGCTCCAGCCACCAGGAGCCACCTCCAAACGGCAGGGAACGAGCCATTTTTAGAGCTCCCCATTCCAAGGAAGAGGTGTGTGTGTGTGTGTGTGCGTGTAGATTAAAAACCCATGTACAGAAAGAAATCCCCACCGAGGTGGCTCTTTTATGTTCCCCAAACCCACGGAGCTCCTGCCTTTGGAACGAGCAGACTGTGATTCCCTGCCAAGCACTTTATTCCCAGCTCCAGAGAGGTTGTTTTTCCCGGCCGGCGCGGTCGGGGGCTGCGGATTCACTGGGTCCCTTCTCCCGAAGGAGTGAGATGCCACCAGGATCCAGCAACCGGGTGCCTCACAGTCCCTTGGGAAAGGTGATGTTGTTGTTCTTAGTATTTTCTTGTTTGTAAAAACAAGCAGAAGAAAAAAACAATCCATCAGGAATATTTGGCAAATGGTGTCTATTTTTCTAATTAAAGATTTGAGCTAATCTGAGGCCTCCCTGCCTTTCAATCCCCCTCTCTGCCTTTCAGTCCCCTTCCCTGCCTTCCAACCCTCCTCTCCTCTGCTTTTCCATCCCCCTCTTTGCCTTTCAAATCCCCCTCTTTGCCTTTCAATCCCCTGTAGCAGCAACACCGGGGGCATTCCT